AAATAAACTTAATTATGACATCTATTATTATAATAGATTATATTGAAAAAGTCAATATCTTGTTTTTGGAAATGTTTTGAAAAACATGAGCTGTTTATGAATGGTAATTTTAAATTCCTCCGTGCTTACGGTTACGAAATAGTCATTTATTAAAATAGTTCATTTGAAACAGTTTTACGTACTGAATTATTCAATGTAACAGTTTACTTTCGAAAAAAAAACATTAATATGTTTCTGTAGTAATATGCTACTTAATCCTTGTAAAAAAAATCTTTTCTTTCGGCTTTTTTAAAGCTATGTATTTTATCAATTTTCTTTGCCAAAAATATTTTTTTTTAAATTCTTTTTCTACCTTTTTTTTAAAAAAAAAATTTAAATTTCATTTTATGAATGCTATAAAAAAATTTTGGCCAAAACTAAATATAGGATATTTTTAATTAATTTATCTCTTTTATTATTGTTAAAATAGATTCTTCGCCAAAAAATAACATAATATAACTTCTTGAACTATTTTTTTTTTAATTCAAACACTGTTTTTATTATTCTCGTGACAGTTTTTTAGCCAAAAATCTATAAAAGAACGTTTTTTGGACTTTTTTTTTAATTCAAACGATACATTTTATCAAAGTTTCTTGGCCAAACAGTTTATTGGCCAAATATTAATATACAAAAACTTCTTTATATGCTTTTTAATCAAAACGGTGCATTCAATCAATGTTAGATCATTTAAAATGCAGAAAATAACTATAAAAAAATGTTTAATTGTTAAAAACTATCAGGGCAACAATTAGTTAAATCACTATTTCATTAAAAAGTTTATAACAAGTTTAGAAAAATAACCTCCAAGCCTAAATTTTAGGTATTTTAAACAATATTTGTTTCAAACAAACTGCAAAAAAATGAGCAAAAATAGATTAAAATGATGCAAACAAATAGTCAAGAATCGGATCTAGATAAAAATTATGAAACTAAAATCATTGTGTCTCTCACATGTATGCGATTCATAAAAGGTTAATCAATCATATTTTTTTAAGAGAATGTGTTGTCCATTTTTTAAACTTTCATCACTGCTGATTTTTCAGTTTTTAAACTTATATTGTTCGTTTTTCTGCAACTTTTAAAACAGCTTTTTCTTTAAACTTAAAGCATTGTAAATTTTTCGAACTGAATTTTTACAACTATTATTGTTCGTTTTAACAAACTTTTAGCATTTGGTAGAGCCAAAACATTTTAACAGAAATCGAGAGAGAAAGCGGAGAAAAAATTCCAGGAAAAGATCACGATGATGTGCAAATACAGTCAACCTTTTAAAAAATTAAGAAGAAGAAAATATTAAATTATATATGGACAACATATAAAAAAAGTAAAATCTGAAGTTTAATTATCTCAAACAGTAAATAAAAAACGTCATTTTAAATCTTAAAAAAAGTAAAGAAAAGAACTGATAAGAGAATAAAAACTGTTAGGAAATTTTTGAAATATTCAAGACCGCTTAAAAAGAAAATGAAAAAATCGCATGTAAAATCAGTAAAAAAAATTTACTTTTGCTTTCATTGTGTTGCAAGAAGTGATTAATAAAGTCATAATTTTAAAAGAAAAATTAAAAGCCTTTTATAAAGTAGCGCAAAAAATAATTAGATAACAAATTGACTGATTAAAAAAAAAAGTCAACTTATAAACTTGATGTTTGTTCATATTTTTCTTCTTTTTATTCAATAATTATCATGTATTTCAAATGCATGGCATGTAAAATAAAAGTAAATAGAACAAAATGTCTAGAAATAAAAAATAAAACGAAAAGAATACTGATTTACAGCTCGAAAAAAACTCATATAATTTATTAATAAAATATTTAAAAAAATATTTTCTAAAACATTCCATTCAATTGAAAAGCTAAATAACTAATCCTAGAGCTTGATGAATCTTCATAAATGCATTTATTACTCAATTTAACTTAAAAATGGTTTTTAGTTTCAGACTTCAAGAGAATAGTTTAAATTACATGTTAAGTGCGCAAAAATAACTTTTGATCCCTTACGATCGAATTTTCACGTTCTAGGACTCAATCTTAATGGTTTGGGGGGATGCCCGAAGTATATTAATTAATTAGTGCAGATGATATTTTTCAGTGAACAAAAGCAAACAAAAATGTTCTTTCTCTGCATAAATATGCGTTTTTTCGACGGATTCCTGACCCCCAAAATGTAGGGGGGAAGAGTTGCCGCAATTTGAGAAATGGGTCTCAATAATTTGGTCAGAAGAGAGGTCAGAATTTTATAAACTGGCATACGCGCCCAACTTTTTTGAAATTCACACTGCTTCTGAAAAATCAGAACTAGATATACATGCTTTAAAAAAAAGTCTACAAGTGTAAGTAAAATGCAATTCTTTTGATTCTATTTACACATTTGCATTTACTAAACACAATATACAAAAACACAATAAAACAACAACAAAAAATGCCAAATTTTTCAAAAATATTAACTTCTGATTTTCCCCTCCGTTCGTGATGATAAAAAAGTATAACTTCAGCCAGTTATTTAAGTAGAAAAGAACCAAAGTAAAAATCTTTCTTTGTGATTACGTTATTCTATGGACATTAAAAAGTATAGTTATCATCAAGAAAAAATTTTAAATTATTCTTTAATTAATTCTTTTTTTTTTAATTTTGGCCCATTAATTTACGATTTGGCCCATTAATTACGTCGTTCTGTGGAACACCTATGCATTTTATAGAAAGCTTATTTCAGGGATGGCCAAGTTCCTTGATAGTCGAGCCATTTTTCAAAATTTAAAATTTTTCGCTAGCCGCAATTAAATACGAAGGTATGCAAAAAAAGGTATTAAGAGTTTTTTACAGAAATTATATTTATTGAAAACATATAAGTAAAAGTACAAAATATGTGCATTGAATTTAAAATTAAACACATTTATTTTACTTTTTTTATTAATTCTTTAAAATTTAGTGAATAATTGGTGACAGCACTTCTCAGTTATTCTTTGAGATGGTGGTTAGTTAATACTGATCGGTGTTTGGATTTCACGAATTTTAAAGTGGAATAAAATGATTTACATAAGTATGTTGTTTAAATATTGAAATAATTCGACAAGAGCAGCCTTTTTTAATTCAGGTTAGTACTTCGATTCTGGTCCAAATTTCAGTAATTCAGAAACCGACGTCGACTTATATTTCAATTGTAGAGCTTGATCTTTGCATCTCTATTAACTCTAATTCTTCAGATGCTTTTTGTGTCATAATTATATTGGAAATGGAAAACTCACCTTGAGTTGAACAACGTTGCACTTAGTCTTTCATATTTGTTCGCAGTAATTTAAAAGACATTTTGAAACACATACGGAACGATAGTAATTTTGTTAAAATATAATAGCACAAAAATGAAAAGGGAACTCTGGTACATTTATCGAGAGCCACAAATAATCTTTCAAAGAGCCGCATGAGGCTCGCGAGCCGCAGGTTGGCCACCCCCGGCTTATTGTTTCATACTTTTTCGATTTGTCACTTGATGTTCGACAGCAGTGGCCTCCAATCCCCGGGACGCAGACCGGTACCGATCCGTAAATCCGGCAGTTCAAGGAACATTAAATTATTTCCAATTTATTTACTGTGTCTCACGGATTTGTACGACTTTCCATAGATGAGAGGTTAACCGGGAGCTGAGAGAGGTCACCTAAGGCCGCAAAAATGCTGCATAAAAACAGTAATGCATTTCTTTAAAATAAAATATTTGGATTTTATTTTGAAGACATGTTTAAACGCAATTAAATTAAAATGATTAAATCAAACAATCTAAAACATAAACCCTGAACAGGCCGCTGCAAAATTGTAAAACGTTTACCGGTTCGCGGTGATAAAAAAAAAAAAATAAATAAATAAATAAATAAATAAATAAAAAAACTGGGGAGCACTGCTCTACAGAATTCCTAGGTCAGGAGCAATGTAAGAAATGTTTTATCTTTTCATACTGGTCTATAGAATGCCAGTTTTTCCAGTAATATTCCAGTAAAAGGATTATGCATCAAAATCAGCACCATTCACGTTAATAAAAAATACGTTAAAAAATAATTGCGCACCTTACTAAACGATTTTAATAATGTAAAAAATGTGATTTAAACCTAATGCTAATAAAATAAAGCTTCTAATCTAAAGTTCTTTTAAGCATTTAAATACCCATTATTTCACGTTATGCAACTAAAAAGGCCCGAGGAAAAGCTTCGATTGGTTACATGGCATATTAAAAATTCCATATATATATATGAATTCATTTAAACATTTAAAATGTATCAGAACAAATAACATCCTATGACCTGAAACTTCAGCAACATTTCATTTTATTCAAATGTCTGGTATTCTCTAACGTTTTGCTGAAGGCATTTTATCGACTGACTAGAACATTACACGAGGAACTTACTCGGGAACAAAGCAAAAAGACACACAATCAAAATTTTCTAAAATTGAGATTGCAAATAGAAAGCCTAAGGGATGCGAGCCTTTCGATTTCAAAACAATACTTTGGAAATATTTCATTTAACTCAAGTTTCGCATGTTCCTTCCTATCTAGCGTGTACTCTAATTTTGCGTGTAATACTCTGAATACTCAATTTTTGTGCGTAATAAAATACTGAGATTAATAGAATCTAAAAAAGGATATATTAATATATAAAGATGAAAACAAAACAAAAACTTAAAACTATAACAAAAAAAGGTAAAATATAAAAATGAATTGCAGAGAATATAACCCTTTTTAGTAATAAATGGATTTCGTAATGCACAAGAGCATTTTCTGAAGAATACTTCAACTAGACAAGTAAAATACTCATTAAATATATGAATCAGTAAGTAAACCACTTAAAACAAACTCGCAATGCAAAACTTTTTCGTCATCTCAAACTTTAAACAAATGCATTCTCAGAAGAGCATTTTCGTTGATACATAATGAAATTATTTGAGTTAGAAACTGGATGAATCAGAATAAACTTACTTTGACATCTTCGAGAGCCTTAACGTGGATATCCAGGACAGATCCTCCAACCACGACCTAAAGTATGGAAAGATGTCAGTTCCGTTGTTATAATATTACCTTAATACGACAACTTTAATTTTCAAAGTTCTGCAGAACAACGAGAGGAAAAGGAGATTTAAAGCAGTTAGAAGAAGATATACCCAAGAACAAAAAGCAATTAGTGAAGAAGAGGTAAAAAAATTAGAGATAATAGGACATTTAAGGACAAAAATAAATTATATCAATGGCATAATTTCCACAGAGACGAAAGCAGAGATGACAGCAAAAACTAATGGAACTCAAAACAAAATACAGTAAAGGAAAAAGATGACAAAGCCAATAAGTTACCAGTAAGATATTATTTATTGTCAAAAAGAAAAAGCTTAAAGAGAAATATAAAAGTAAATTAAGCCTATGTTAAAAGTTTTTTAGTATCGGTATTGTTTTTAAAAAGTCTTTTATTTATTGCTTTTTTAATTTAAGGAATGTTCTAACAAAATCGTGTCTAACACTTTGCAGTCTTAAACACAAATACATAGAACTAGTTTTTATTTTGTCAAGTTCTAGTTATCTTTTCTACAAAATTAATTGCAGTTTTTTTTTGGATTTTCACATAAAAGTATTTTTAGTTATTCACAAAAACTTTAGATAACTATTAAATGCAATGTTAAAAAAAAATTATAAATAATTAATAATGATCACTTTTATGGTTACTAGCTTAGAAGGAGCAAATTTTAAATATTTATTTTCAATGAATGGCAATAGATGTCACTACATACTGCACATTATTAGAGGAAAAAAATATTAAAAACATTTTTTTTTCCTTTACAGTCCTACGTTCCATTTAAGTCATGAGTAAAGCATTAAACAGCATACATTTAACAACTGATAATAAATGCAATTTGTGATAGATTGAAAGAGTAAAATCGAGAATTGGAAATGGGATTGGAGATATATGAGCAAAATTATTTTGTACATTTTAGGAGGCCTCTAAGATAACCAAATCTAATTATCGGTACGTAAAGGACATGATGATGGTGAATTTATCATAGACTAATTAAAATTCTGGCACTTTGCAAATGCCGCCAGAGTTTTGAAACGCACCAAGCTAATCTCTATTCTTGTCATTTTTTAGCCTTATTGTAATCATTTTATATATTTTTAGTCTAATTAAGAAATGTGAGCAGAATTATTTACTCAATCTGACTGATTTTGCTTAGACTTACAGCAATATAACTTTAAGGCTATTTACAATAACCTTTGATTAATCTGTGCATATTGTTTACCTCCTGAAATATACCAGGCTAATTAAGCAATCGAAAAAAAAATTTATTACCTAAAGGTATGTGAGCTCTCTGCAATAAGCCTAAAAAGTGTTAGACTAATTAGAAAATACTGACTGCTTTTCCAATTAGCCTATCTCATTGCAAAATGGCGTCGGTTGTTTTCAAGGAGCCTAATTATTCAGTTAACTTATCTGTCTCTTACGCTTGTTAGCCTGATACTTTTTTCGAAGTTGCCAAATTGTATTGTTACCTCGTATTGTCGATTACTTTCTTCGGGTGGAGAAAAATGGAGCACAGATTCGAAGCTTGTCGCTTATGAAATGGTTCAAAGATTAAATGCATACTTTGAATAATAATGAGAGAAAAAATCCTTCTAGCCATTGATATGCTATGCCAATCTATAGCCATTCGATGGAAACAATTGTTTATAATCTGCCGCTTTATATAAAAGAACCTAAATTTGACGTTTCATAAAGAAGGAGCATAAATAGAATTAGTCAGAACAAAGAAATCGATACACAAAGAAAAGCAAATGATTAATTCTAACTTTTTATTAAAATAAAAGAACATTAACAAAAGAACATTAGCATACCGGTCTCCCAAAACAAGATTTCTTATCAATACTTTTACATGAATTTTGAAGAACTCTTGATGAGCCAGTTCCACCAGACCTATTCTTCAGATTATTAAGATTCACTGCAATTTGAGAAGCAACTTTAGCGTTATTCATCAGGAGTCCGATATCTAAATAGTTGAGGGTTACATCAAGTGGTGTTTATTATTACATGAATATACAGAATGTCTCAAAATGACCACAAAGGATGCTCAATAACATCCCTGCAGGAAATCATATCGGAATATGGCTGCACGGAGGGTTGGGCACATCATAAAGATTGAAATTTGCATAGTGACCAGAAATGTCACCGTACGTCACTTCCCTATGGACGGTGTTTTCAACATAAATCTAAACAACAATCTCGAGCTCTTGACCTGCTCTACTTCCGACTAGAAAGTATACAGCTGCTTACAACAGCTTATTCTGCGAGGCGATATTTTCAAACAGATAGTTTTGTTTCTGATTAAAAAAAAAAAAAAAAAAAAAAAAAAAAAAAAAAAAGAATAAATTATATAATTTCGGAACTCAAATCTGCTGTATTTCATAAGATATTGATGATATTTAGCAATTCTGGTGAGTTTGAACTGAAAATTGTTTCAGTTATTTATTGTTAAAAAAGGTAGCATGGTGGCTAGATTTAGTAAGAACTCGTTTTTTTTTACAGTTCCGATTTGGCCTCTTTTTGCTTGTTTATTACTGTTTGTTCCTGTTGCAAGGCGTGCACCATCATACGGTAGTGTGAGCCTATTGTTCGAGCAACGAGATTAAGCTTATTTTACAAATTATCATCGTTCTCAATTAGTTATTGTTTTTAATTTCAAACAGTTTCAAATAAAAGAAGAGAAATGGCTTTCTGACATGTTAACGATAGTTTTTACTTTGTTGTCTTCGGAGATCCGTTTTACAGGTTTCATCTGTCTTGCATAGAAATGTTCACGTGAATAAATTAGCGTAAATAAACTCAAATTAGAAAACTCAAAAAAAATTTTGAAGGAGAGAACATTACTAATTCCAACTTCAAATACAAGAAAAAAAAATTATATTATTTTTTAACTTTAAAGATTAAAGTTCCTTTTAAACTTTCCTTGTTGTCAGGTATATTTTTCTGACATTACTGGAGGCAAATTTTTGATCAAAGCTGTCAAAAAAAAAATTCCATTTGAAATAAAAATCTTAGAAATAACTTTAAAAAGTGTATCCGTCAACTTTACGCTCGGTGTAAAGCGAGAGTCTATATCTAAACATTTTGTTAACAAAAACAATTGTGTATTCTAACAACAATGGTGAGTGAAAAATTGCATGTTGATACAACAGCAGTATTGAGTGGGGAAAACAATTGCATAGCTTAATTTTTTTTAATTACTTCTTTAATTTTAAAAGCTATTTGAAATTTGCTTAGATTAAATAAATTTCAAAAAAATATGGGTAAAAGTAAAATAAATCCAAAGTTTTCATTTTTACATTTTCACGAAATTAAATTATTTTTTGTATCCAAATTTTTATTCGGTTTGGCGATTGTTTTTAATTTTATTTGGGGAATCGAAAGCAATAATTGTGTTTCTGAGATTTATATGTATATTTATATGTTACACAAAATGTAGATGTATAGGATGTTCGGTAAAGATCTCACCCTACATGTATTTTTGCATTGTTATCAAAAATTAAAAAACACTTCCAGGAAGGTGAGAGTAATAAACAACAAAACGGTTGGATTATGAAGGGGTACAGAAGATTATTAAAAATGGTAGAAGATTTTTAGAAGTAACTTCTCATTTTAACCTCCAATAAAGCATGTTTTGAAATTTATTATATACACATTCTTCTTCTCTAGTTTCGTTTGTTTTTCTTTTTTTTTTCTCTTTTAAATATTAAGTTAATATTCCCAATATATATTACTTTTCCGTTTTCATTTTCATCGATCTGACATTAAAAATTTGCAAACACTAGACTGCAAAAAGTTGTTGATAACGAGGTTTACGGCATAGATTCAAAGTAAAAATAATGAAAATTCATGCTTTTTAAATTTAATGTATAAAATATTACTGTTCGATCTTCCTAATATAAATAACTCGTCCATCTATTGTTAAAATTATTTTATCTATGTGCAAAAAACATAAAATAATATCGTTATTATTAGTTAAATTGCAATAAGAGTTATTATTTAATTTTCAATTTATATGTACAATATAAAAATGCACTAAATGTTTTTATATTACATGTAAAAAAAAATTTAACTAACCATAATAAATTTTCATGTATTTTATAATATCTCACCAGTACGATAATTAGGAACTAAAATTGTTCAAAAGCTAGCCTATCATAATTTCAGAAATTTCTCAGATAGCTTCACTCATCGGGTAAACAAATGAATAAATTGGTGTAAACAAGTCGAAAAATGTGTTTACTCTAAAATGCATCGGTCTCTAATCAATAAGAGGATTGATTGTTCCCCGCAACGATTTTAAGTGTCTACCTTCGTTACTGATAGAATCATGTTCAAACAACATTTGTTACAGTTATGAGGATAGCTAGAAGCGTTATATCAACAAGAGAATTGGAAATTTTCATTTTCTCCTTCGAATAGAGTCGAAATAAAGATAATATTTAGCATACACATTAGAATATCGCTAACATTTATAAAAGGAAACATGCTTATTTAAGATTGACGTACGGGAATGCAATAAGGTCGTGATTATATAATATTTTTAATTTCTGTATGCGCAAAACATTACACGCTGGCTATCACAAACTGAGGAAAAATGACTCAAAAGGGCACACATTGTACACATAATATTGTACAAAATAGCATGAAAAGTATTGAACCAGACAAATAGGGTATTCCAGAAATCAGCATATGTATGAAATCAATAAAACAGATGCTTCAGTTTTGAATAGAAAAGTACCTTCAGATTGGATAACGATCACTCCTAGCAGCAATACAGTATATACAGCGATGTGTAATGCTTTCAATTAAGTGGTCTACCAGTTCCGTTGGATGTTGGAATGTTCTTGCGGTTGTGTTGGAATGATAATCGACGATCAAGAAAACAAATTTGAAATAAGAAAAAAACGACGTACGGCATGCTGCTTTCGTATAGGAAACGAGGCTATTTATTTTCTACACAAATCAAAATTAGTTAGGGGGGGGGGGGTAATATGATATTATTTTTTTAGACAGACCCACCCAGTTACGCTGTAGATGGGGTAAAATTAAAATCCTTGTTTTATATTTTTTGTCAGCGCCATCTACTGACGAAATTTGTAACTTAATAAGAAAAATATGCTAGTTTCTATTGCAGAATACAGAAAAATTTAAATTTTTTATCCTATTTCTTTTAATTGTTTTCTCAAATATCTTAGCCATTTCTGCGCCACCCAGTATTTTTCCGAAAAAAACATTAAATCTAAAAAAGTGTTTTCCGATATATCTACAATAACAAAGTAATTATATAAATAAGCTAATATAAGCTAATATATAAAACAAAGTGAATTTGATTATTGATGTTTCGAAATAGGTGTATCCGTACAGCTCATGTACAGTGCACCTACAAGACAAGTAAAAAAAAAAGGATACTAGCTCTCAATGAAGCTCCGTCACTGAGTTCACGAACTCTATTCAAGACAAATGGCGTGACATCCTTTCCCTTAACGCCATTGGCTCTAAACAAATAAAAAAAATATTTTAGGTGCACATCAAGGGATGCCAAGGCCGGATTAACCATTAAGCACACTAAGCACGTGCTTAGGGCACCAGGGGATAGGGGGGCACCACAAAGCCTGACTAAATGTGAGGAGTATATAATTTAATTTTTTTTTAAACATTACTTAAAAAATTAATTATTTTGAGCTTCCATTTTAAGAGTAGATAACAAACTTTTCTAAGTACGAAATTTTACATAATAAAAGAAAAAAAAACAAAAGATGTTATGTATCAAAAATTTTTGGTCTTATAATTAAATTAGGTAGCGAATTTCTATGCGATAAAAGATCTATTTATTTATCCATTACAATGATTCCATAACATACTGCTACGATTGATGTTTACATAATATTTTTCGCAGTTGTAGCAAAGTTAATACTTCGTCAATTTGATTTTTTTATGTAAAAAAAAAATTATTTACAACATTTTGATGCAATGATTTGATGATGCAAAATATGTGATTTTTGATGTGAAAAAAAAACTGTATTATGCATGTTTGCAGTTTTTGTGCATGTTTTTGTTTTTATGTGCTGCACATTTTTCAAAAATATTTGCTTACACTTTATTTTTAATTATATTCTCATTGCAACTGGAAAAAGAAGTCATCAAATTACGTAAAGGTTGTGTTACAAAAATTTATTTCAAAATTTTAC